CACCATCCATCTCCCATTCACTGATGGGACTCCACTGGGCAATGAGGGTGCAGGATGTGAGTCCTCCGATTGAGGCAAGCCTCGGTTAGGCTATCCAAATATGTCGCCAATCCCACCTCTGGATTGGGACTGATAAAGAGCTGAATTCTGGATGCATTCTGAAGCGGACCTCTGACTTTGCACATCAGAGCTTGCCTACTGCACAATGCCTCTAAAAATTATTGCAAGTGCCAAGATAAGATCCCCCACATGAGAAGTAGGCAGCAAAGGACTTTGGAGGCACATAGAAAGACCCTACCTGCTTACCTCTGGGTCCTCCCCTACTTTTGGACTAAGACAAGAGTGGCAAGTGTGCTTTCAAGAATGAGATACACACACACTGGCAAGTGCATCTGTGGACACCTGACAATGAGGATCCAACGCATAATTTCCACTTCTGCAGCTGGATAATACCCAAGATCATCAGAATGCTAAGCTATTGGGCAACTTAAGTGGGGCACAAAGAATAGCAGACTGCATTTACACACTACTTTCCCTACACGTTCAAGGGCCTTTTGTGCACTCTCAGTAATCTTTATCACCTATAAAGTAAGCTGGTGCTGCCCTCTATTACCAGGAAGGGGTGGGTCTAGAACAGCAGACTGTGCCTAGCCTAGGCCAACTCATTGAGTTCATGGCTGAGTTCTGCATTGAGAGCTTCTCAGTCATAGCTGGTACCCACGCACTAACCCCGGAGAAATGAGAACATGAAGGCATTGGCAACTGAACAGGCTGGATATACTGGAGGCAGCTAACAAGTGGATAGCAAACAGAAAGTATGTGGGCAAAGGGAAGTAGTGGGAAATCTACAGCCATGGTAGAAAGTTAAAGAAATATGCAGCAAAACAAAAAGAGGAGAGTATCCAGTTTTCAAAATAAAGTGAGAACCTGACCCCTAAAAGTAGCCTAGAAAAGCTAGGAAGGAGACAAATAAAGGCAGCCGGGGAAAGGAATGCTAGCCACACACATCCTGCCAACCGATACTGAATTGCGGTGGGGTGGGGATTCCATCTCAATTGTGCTTGGTAAGGATGCATCGTCTGGAGAGACTGGAAAGAGGGCAAAGTAAACACTGCTTCCCCTCCCATCCACAAGTCTAATGTTCTTCTATGGAAGATCACTGCATCTCCTGCTTCTCCCCTTGCTACCATTTTCCACATCAAAGACTAGCCACTGCTTCCTAGTTAATATCAGGTTTTGAAAGAAAGAAAGGATCTGACAGTCACCCTACAGCCATTTAAGCTGTGGTGAACTGAGGATGATTATTCTGTTTGTTCTCTGCAAGCCACATTCTCTTCTCTTGCGGCTAGGTCTTCTGAATTAAAGCTCGATTGCTGCATCTGTTGTGGCTGCAATCCAAACAAGAGGTATATGTGAGTATATGCATGCATGCACACCAGGGTTGTCAGCTCTGAGTTGAAAAATGCCTGGAGATTTTGGGGGTGGAGACTGAGAAGGGAACAGGGTACATGGCCATACCAAAGCAGGTGTTTTTCTCAAGGCGAAATGATCTCCATTGTCTGGAGATCAGTTGTAATAGGAGGAGATCTCCAGGGCTCACCTGGAAGTTTGCAACCATAGAGCATGCACACAGGGCTACTAAGTGCTCAGCAAAAAAATTTCCTTCAAAATTTCAACCTCAGCCAATCAAAATGATGAGGCAAGTTGGTTTTCAATCAAACTGAGTTTAAATAAAAGTGGGCAGCTTATTCCACCTACGGTGAAAATTTAGATGAAGCCAGTCAGCATCTACCTCTGCTTCTACTGTGTTCTCAGGGTCAAAGTGGAAGTACACGGGGGGACAGCTGGTGGTCCCTGGAACACTCAGACACCCCCCCCAGGTTTCAAGCAATCTTCTCCCTATTACTTAATTATCATATGGCAGTGGGTACAGTATAACCAGGAGATCCGAAGATTGTCTGGCAGCCAGAAACTCTAGCTCTTTTTGTGGTAAGCTAGGTTTATCTTTCGGGCTGAGAGAACTGTGACTGGCCCAAGGTCACCCAGCTGGCTTCAAATGGAGGAGTGGGGAATCAAACCCAGTTCTCCAGATTAGAGTTCGCTGCTCTTAACCACTACACCAAACTGCATTGTGATTATGTGCATAAGTATGTAGACGGGAAGAGCCAAACGGTGCCCCAGGCCAGAGATGCTTACCGATGAAGTCTTCAAGTGCTGGACGCAACAGAAGGGACACGAACACAGTCAAGGCAGAACACTACATTTTTTTATCTTTTAGAAAATCCCAACCCCTGCATCTAATAAGACTGGACACTATAGTTACAACACTCCTAGAACTGTAGAATTATGAAAACACAATAGATAATGGGGGGGAGAGCAGGGAAAGACACCACAATGGCCAGTTTCAGCCACTCACTTACAGAAAAGCCAGCATAAACTGGAGACAGCGAGGACCAAGGAACCCCGGCTAACAGAACAAACCCTGACATGAAGGTAGCACATGAAATGGTTTTTTTACCTATTTAAAACACAGGCAGCAGGTGGAGCAAGGATGTGGGGAGTAACTGCTAAATTTCCTTGTACTACAAGGAAGCAATGAAGTTTTTTAAAAAAAACCCAAGCCTGAAGGCAGGTTTTAGTTTTGTGAGCCTCTCTCTTTCTCTCTCTTTCTGTGCTGCTGGTAACCGTGGTTAAGTATAAAAACCAAAGAAAAATAATCTTTTTCTTTTTTTGTAGACAAGTCAGTAGTCCGAGACATAGAAAAAAGTAAAAACCAGTCCTTTTTTTAAAAACGGGTTTACTAAAACAATTGTCACCCGGGACGCACCCCCCCACACACGCTGCCTGTCTCCCAGCAAAACCAGGGGGTGCGAGGTCAAACCGGATCGGTCGCCGACTGCAGGCCTCCATCCACTGATACCTAAAAGGGCGAGGAAGCGGGGCTTGCAAACTGTACCTGTGGCCTGCTGACTGGAACTGGGAGGCTACGCAGCCTGGTGATGCTGGGGAATACTGGTGAGCTGGAGTTCTTGCGTGGGAACACGCCAGGGTGGAATTGCAAGGAATCTGGGCGGCTGCACTCCGCCCCAGTCTACTGGACGCGTTTGCTCACGACCCCCAAGGCTTCCCCGGCTGCACCTCGCTTCATGCGCTTTAGTGACAGGGGGTGGGGGTAAATGCCTAAGACAGAGGAAAATGACCACCGGTGCAGGAAGGAGTGCTTTACCAAGGTGATGGACCTTAGCTACATCTTAAGGTGTGAGCTTTCCCCAAGAAAGGAAAGATACCCCAATGGAATTAGGGTAAACACAAAAAAACCCCAATCCTTGTTTCCAAGACCTAAAGCTCCTTTTGCCTTCTAACAAACCCCACACCCCCCAGGAACTAATATCATTTTCCACCCAATCCCAACCCCTCCTGCCTGGTGCCAAAAGCAGGTTCTTTATCCACATAACATTGCCGCGGCTGCCTCTATTTCATCGAGAGGCTTGGAAAGTGCCTTCATCACCATCGCTGTGCCTCCATTGGGCGGTGTGGTGGGGTTCCACGCTCTCAACAGCGCCCCCCCCCTTTCGAACTGAAGTGCTGAGAATGGAAAGCATCAGCCACGTGCCTCGCGTCTGCTCAGCCCGAAGGCAGGGCCTGCGCTCGGCCTTCTAGGAAAACACGGGCGGGGGAAAGAAATATACTGGCTGGGACTTCCAACGGGGTGGTATCTGCATAGCTGGGTCAGTACCCCTGTGCCCGTAACATCCCGCTTCGTACAAAAGGAAGCCAGCTGCCGGGGGGGCCAGCTCCACCATCCGGCCGAACGTCTATGGAAGTGGAGTGCGCCGAGTGCCTACGTTCACACCACCTTCTCAGTGTTCCATTTCCCCTCCAGTCCCGGCGAGACTGAGTGGCTGCTAACTTGTCTCCTTGAGGTCTTCCAGGGGTCGTTTGTAGCTCAGCAGAAAGTGAGGCGGCGGCGCGTGTGTCGGACTACCCGGGCCCTGCATCTGCTTCTTTGCACAGTTTATACAGATATAATCTTCGCTCTCTGCCATTTCTGGTGAGACACCAACACAGACTTGATGAAACCACTCATCACAGCCACCATCACACTGCACCCAGTCTACCTGCAAGAGACAACAGATGTGTCAATCACAATGCTAGGGGGAGAGGAGAAGCAAAAGGCCACATTCAGGGCTCCAAGCCTGGCAGGGTCAGCAAGGCCAGCAAGGCTGGAGTATAAAAACTATTCAGAGGGTCAGAGAAACAAGAGTGAACACAGCACATTCGTCTGTTACCAAATCAGGCACCTTCAGAACCAGTGGCTTCAATAATAATGCCAGAAATTGGTGGCTGGTGCTAGCAGGCCGAAACTGCTTGTTCCCAGAAGTCCCATAGTTGTTCAAATAGGACAGCTCGAGCAAAGTGGGTAGAAAACGTGGCAAGGAATTTGCCAGCACAGATACTAAATATCAAACCTGGTAGATCAGCGGAGACATAAGGAGAGAGCCCGTAAGGCAGAAAGAAATCCCCATGTAGGGATTCCTCGAGAGGCTTCATTAAAATCCGTCCCTCAGAGTTAACTATTGGTTCTATGTCTACATTTGAGCAGAGTTTGTAGAGCATGTACAGCTAGAACAGAATGAGACCTGTAAAATACCATGCTTACAACATCAGCATACATTACCTGAACAACTTCTACATCATGGAGGATCCTCTGGTTTGAGTAAGTCCTGAGACAGTACGCCAACATAGCTTCTGACATAGTCTCACCAGCGTACATGACACCATGCCGAGTAAATAAAAATAAATGAAATGAAATCTGCAATTCAGTTCGGATTCCACGAGCCAGGAACGTAGCGGAATAAGCGGCTGCTGTGTATTTACCGGCCAGTTTCTGACTAATTAGAATGTCCATTTCCATTTGTTCATTATATTCATTCCCTTTGCACCAAGGAATAAAAAAATGCTTCAGAAAATAATGTACTAGAGCACAAAATCAGCCTTAGACCTTAGAAACGAAGCAGGAATCTGTACCTTTGCCCACATATAGAAGAAAGCAATATTGGAAGGACATGTTGAGTCTTGGCGGGGGGAGGGGGGGCTATAGCTGAGTAGTAGAGCAAAAGGCCCTGCTTTAATTCCCAGCACTGCCAGGCAGAAAATCAACAAGACAGATTTCTGTCAGTATAAAGTAGGGAGCACAGGGTTAGATGGAGCAGTGGTCTGAAGTAAATGTCGTATCTTCAAACCAGAGAACTAAAATCGAAAGAACGAATATCCTCTAAAATACAAATTACATTGATTTTGTTCTGTTGGTCCCCAGCAACTGTTAACAGAATGCCATCATTGTAGGCACTTAAAAAATTAAATGTCATTAGTCTCTCAAGGTAACTGCAGACCCAGTGGAACCACAACCCATTTATCACAGCACAAGTTTACGCTGAAGTTTTTTCGGGGGTGGGGGTCTTGCTGTTCTGAGCCAAGCCTACCTTCAGTGACTAACCACTGCGAGAAACAAGATCAAAGAATTCCTCTCCCATTTTCTTTTTTTAAATGTACACAAATATGGCAAAGGGTTAATGGATATCATGTAGTGGCAGGACTGTTATCTTAAACTGCAGAAGAATATATAAAAGAGAAAACGAAAGTTGGGTGCTAGTGTTAAATGGCGCCTACTGCAAAAAACAGGTTGCTTACCTGTAACTGATGATCTTCGAGTGGTCATCTGTGCATTCACACCCATGGGATCTAGTGCGCACGCGCTGGATCGATTGGCACTGTAGCAAGCTCTTTAACGGATTTTCGCGCCCAGTCCCTCGGCCATGCGCAGGAACCCCACCGCGCATGCCCAGAGGGGTGGGCGCAGACATCCCACCAGTTCCTTCAAACTGCCGCAAATCAACCCCTATGGAAAATGTAGAAGCTGACAGCAGCGGGGAAGGTGGGCGGGTGGTGTGAATGCACAGATGACCACTCGAAGATCATCAGTTACAGGTAAGCAACCTGTTTATCTTCGACGTGGTCTCTGTGCTTCACACCCATGGGAGATTAGCGAGCAGTGGCCTACCTGGAGGAGGGTGCTGGCAGGTCCTTTACTGCATCGCTGAAGATAGAACGTGACATCCCATGTTGGTATTAGAGTTCTTACGGACGTCCAGGGCGTAATGCCTCATGAAGGTGTTAGGCATGGCCCAGGTAGCAGCCTTGCAGATGTCTGTCAGGGGTATTCCCTGGAGGAAGGCAGTGGAAGCTGCAACAGCCCGGGTCGAATGGGTCCTGATGGGGCCAGGCAACGGCTGCTTTGCAATCAAGTAGCAGAGGTGGATGAGATCCGCAATCCACTTTGAGAGGCATTGAGCCGTTGATGAGAGTCCCCAGCCTCGCTGGTGCGTAGGACACGAACAGTTGGGAGTCACGTCTCGTTGGGCGGGTTCTGTTGAGGTAGAACAGGAGCGCCCATTTGACATCCAAAGTATGTAACAGCCTTTCCTCTGGGGATTTTGGGGCTGGGAAGAAATCCGGGAGGAAGACCTCTGCCTGTAGGTGGAACTCTGACACTACCTTTGGCAGGAACGAGATGTCAGGGACGAGGCAGACGCCGTCTGGCAAGAATGACAAATAAGGCGTGTCATGCCTCAAAGCCAGTATTTCTCCAACTCGCCTTGCAGAGGTGACGGCAACCAGAAAGGCCATCTTCCACGACAGGAATTTCATTTCGCAAGTCGCAAGTGGCTCAAAGGGTTTCCTCGTAAGCTGATGAAGGACTAGAGGAAGGTCCCAGGGAACGACAGGAGTTTTGACAGGAGGGTAGAGGTGCAACAAACCCTTTAAAAAAACATTTTGAAAGCGGATGCGAAAACATGGTGCATCAGTCAACTTGAACATGGTAGGCCGAAATTGCAGCCAAATAAACTCTTAACGATGAGTGGGAAAGTCCCGAGTCAGCGAGGGACAGGAGGAATTGGAAAACTTTCTTGAGACCTGCAGAGGTGGCTCGAGGGGCATCATCACCTAGGGAAGAAAAGAATCTTTGCCATTTATAATGGTAAGACCTTCGCGTAGTAGGTTTACTGGCATTCAGCAGAACGTTTGCTACGCGGGTCGAAAAACCTTTGACATTATTCTCCACGTTGTCAATTTTAATCGTGGTACGTCGTGATGTAGGAGAGGGGAGTCGGACAGGAAGAGGAGGTCCTGTGCCAGAGGGAATTGGTGGTATATTCCCGTTGACAATTCGAGGACGGTCAAGAACCATGGTTGTCTTGGCCACCACGGTGTTATCAACATGCAGTCCGCGCCGTCTCTGACGATCTTGCGTACCACTCTCAGAAGTAGGGGTATGGGAGGAAACAGGTACAGAAGGTCTGTGGACCAAGGAAAAAGGAGACCATCTCCTAGCGACTGTGAGTCCCTGCCGCCTCGACTGCAGAATAGGGAACATTTTTTGTTGGCTCTGATGGCAAAAACATCGACTTGGGGAGTTCCCCACTTGCGGAAGAGTGGGAAGAGGTAGGACGGGTTCATCTCCCACTCGTTGAGACTGAGCTTTGCTCAACTTAGATGATCTGCCTGCACATTCATGTGTCCTGAGATGTGCATGGCTACCAGAAAGATGTTGTGGGCGATGCAAAAGTTCCATAACTGGATGGCAAGGTTGCAGA